AAACCGCCCGCGAGCGAGACTGGCGCGGTGGACGCTCGTGACATGCGGAAACCGCCCGCGAGCGAGACTGGCGCGGTGGACGCTCGTGACATGCGGAAACCGCCCGCGAGCGAGACTGGCGCGGTGGACGCTCGTGACATGCGGAAACCGCCCGCGAGCGAGACTGGCGCGGTGGACGCTCGTGACATGCGGAAACCGCCCGCGAGCGAGACTGGCGCGGTGGACGCTCGTGACATGCGGAAACCGCCCGCGAGCGAGACTGGCGCGGTGGACGCTCGTGACATGCGGAAACCGCCCGCGAGCGAGACTGGCGCGGTGGACGCTCGTGACATGCGGAAACCGCCCGCGAGCGAGACTGGCGCGGTGGACGCTCGTGACATGCGGAAACCGCCCGCGAGCGAGACTGGCGCGGTGGACGCTCGTGACATGCGGAAACCGCCCGCGAGCGAGACTGGCGCGGTGGACGCTCGTGACATGCGGAAACCGCCCGCGAGCGAGACTGGCGCGGTGGACGCTCGTGACACGCGGAAACCGCCCGCGAGCGAGACTGCGCGGTGGACGCTCGTGACATGCGGAAACCGCCCGCGAGCGAGACTGGCGCGGTGGAGGCTCGTGACATGCGGAAACCGCCCGCGAGCGAGACTGGCGCGGTGGACGCTCGTGACATGCGGAAACCGCCCGCGAGCGAGACTGGCGCGGTGGACGCTCGTGACATGCGGAAACCGCCCGCGAGCGAGACTGGCGCGGTGGACGCTCGTGACATTCGGAAACCGCCCGCGAGCGAGACTGGCGCGGTGGACGCTCGTGACAGCGGAAACCGCCCTCGAGCGAGACTGGCGCGGCGGCGCTCGTGACAGCGGAAACCGCCCGCGAGCGAGACTGGCGCGGTGGACGCTCGTGACATGCGGAAACCGCCCGCGAGCGAGACTGGCGCGGCGGGCGCTCGTGACATGCGGAAACCGCCCGCGAGCGAGACTGGCGCGGTGGACGCTCGTGACATGCGGAAACCGCCCGCGAGCGAGACTGGCGCGGTGGACGCTCGTGACATGCGGAAACCGCCCGCGAGCGAGACTGGCGCGGTGGACGCTCGTGACATGCGGAAACCGCCCGCGAGCGAGACTGGCGCGGTGGACGCTCGTGACATGCGGAAACCGCCCGCGAGCGAGACTGGCGCGGTGGACGCTCGTGACATGCGGAAACCGCCCGCGAGCGAGACTGGCGCGGTGGACGCTCGTGACATGCGGAAACCGCCCGCGAGCGAGACTGGCGCGGTGGACGCTCGTGACATGCGGAAACCGCCCGCGAGCGAGACTGGCGCGGTGGACGCTCGTGACATGCGGAAACCGCCCGCGAGCGAGACTGGCGCGGTGGACGCTCGTGACATGCGGAAACCGCCCGCGAGCGAGACTGGCGCGGTGGACGCTCGTGACAGCGGAAACCGCCCGCGAGCGAGACTGGCGCGGTGGACGCTTGTGACATGCCGCCCGCGAGCGAGACTGGCGCGGTGGACGCTCGTGACATGCGGAAACCGCCCGCGAGCGAGACTGGCGCGGTGGACGCTCGTGACATGCGGAAACCGCCCGCGAGCGAGACTGGCGCGGTGGACGCTCGTGACATGCCGGCGAGCGAGACTGGCGCGGTGGACGCTCATGACATGCTGTAACCGCCAGTGCGCGGTGAACAGCCCGGCGCTCCAGGTACGCCATAATTGTCCTTTTTGCCGCACACCTGACCCGAACAAACGGTGCCAATGTGTTTCTAGGACGAACCCTCTCTTCAGAAGCTGTAGCCTCTTGGGGTTCGCCCTACGTATTTGGAAGCAGCCTGGAAGCACGTTGACATGAATATGCGGAGCGCACTCGGCCCAAACAAAAGGGCGCATGAACATCCGAACAGCTGACCCCGGTCTACGCAGATCGTGGTAACACTGTGTCTCAGACTTGTTTCGGACAGGCGTCAGACCCACCAAGTGACCGAGGCTTGTCCACACCGAGCCCCCCGCAAAAGCGCAGCGCCGGCCCCGTGCACGGCTCCATGTTCCAGGTGCGCCAAAATTGTCATTTTTGCCGCACACCTGACCTGAACAGCTGGTGCCAATGTGTTTCTAGGACGAACCCTCCCTTCAGAAGCTGTAGCCTCTTGGGGTTCGCCCTACTTATTTGGAAGCAGCCTGGAAGCACGTTGACATGAATATGCGGAGCACACTCGGCCCAAACAAAAGGGTGCATGAACATCCGAACAGCTGACCCCGGTCTACGCAGATCGTGGTAACACTGTGTCCCAGACTTGTTTCACACAGGCGTCGGCGTCAGACCCGCCAAGTGACCGAGGCTTGTCCACACCGAGCCCCCCGCAAAAGCGCAGCGCCGGCCCCGTCTCCACACACCTGCGGCGAATCCACCCGACTTGCCATCCACACGCATCCAATTGACAGCGTGCGCGGCCCTTTCCACAAAGTCACCAGTTGCAATTGGTTGCGAATGGGAACATAGGTGGAGAAACTAACGAATCTAAGCAAGCTTACGAAGCAAGTTTGTGAAGGCCACGTGCACGGCTCCATGTGAACAGCCCGGCGTTCCAGGTGCGCCAAGATTGTCCTTTTTGCCGCACACCTGACCCGAACAAATGGCGCCAATGTGTTTCTAGGACGAACCCTCTCTTCAGAGTCTGTGGCCTCTTGGGGTTCGCCCTACTTATTTGGAAGCAGCCTGGAAGCACGTTGACATGAATATGCTGAGCACACTCGGCCCAAACAAAAGGGCGCATGAACATCCGAACAGCTGACCCCGGTCTACTCAGATCGTGTTGAACACTGTGTCTCAGACTTGTTTCAGATGGGTGTAGAGCGAGCTTATGCCTTGCTTCCAATTTGGGAGTGGTAGTTTGTTCGGATCCATGTTCGGATTTCTGCGATTGGTTCTTCATGATGAATCGGATGACTTCGTGCCTTCCATGTAGTGCGGGGCCTGTCATGTTTCACCCGTGCCTTTGCCTTTTTCTCTGTGCTTGGTCAGAGCACAGGCTGCTGGCTGCCAATCCGGCTTGAGTCGCGGTTGCTCCCCTTCTTCATCTGTTTGGGGGTTGATTTCCCAACTGTGAACAATTTAAATCTTGGTTTGCCTTCGGACCCTTGAGCCGGAAAACAACGGGATCCACATGCCATGGGGAGTGAGGCTGGTTTGCTTTTGGGTTCCCGGGCTCCTCTTGTTTTAAGTTTGGAAACCCCAAAATGTGTCCCTATTGGTTTCCAAACTTATTTTCCCTATTGGTTTCCCCAAATTTTAAGTTTGGTGCTTTCCTATTGGTTTCCCGAAAAAAAGAAGAAGAAGAAAAGGGAAAAACACCAAAGAAGGAGTACCCAAAAGAAAAAAGACACACCCAGCTGAACAAAAGTGGCCGGATTCCACACGTGCCAGGCTCAAAACTCGTTCTGCACCGATCGAATGATCAACCGCCGGTCCTTTCAAAATTCCTTTCACCTCCCGACCGCCAGTGAACTTGACCTTCACTGGCTGGTTCAAGTACCTAGCACGCGCTTCGGAGAGAAGGCTATCAATGTTCCCCAGGCAGTTGGGTGCGATCGAAGACTACCGACTGAACTGACTGGTGACTCCACGCAAATAGGAGTTTGAGGTCCTTCCACACAGAAGTTGAGGCCATTCGAAAAAGGAGTTACGGCCATTTCCATGCACATAGGACTCTTCAGCCCTCATACCCGCCTCTCCAAATCCAGGACTGACTTGGCACTATCCTTCTTGGCCATGGGGTAGTTGGCCTGCCGCATGTGACGAGTCAACCCTCCCATGAATGGGTTGGTCAAATGGACTTGTTGTGAACCCTCTTCGTAAGTGGGTCAGATTGGGTCCCGAAAGCGCATGTTATTTTCGACGTGCTCATATGACTGACCCAAAAAGTTGAAACTGTTGAGATCTCTATCAATATGATGGAGAAAGCAGGCGACACAAGCAACTTGCAGCTTGAAAAACTAACAGATAAGCAGCGCCCAACATCCATTGACATTTGGCTCTACCAACATGGCTACAACGATGTGCAAAGGCCTTGCTATAAACCCCCATGAAAGCAGGTAGTAGGACCACTCTACTTCACACTTTCGCAAGCGAGATCGACCCCCCCCCCCCGAAGTAGAACCACCTACTTAAATGGCCCGTTTGGGGTTTTGGGAGCGGTGAGAGCGAGACCGTCCAACTCGCATCCCGCCTTGGGCCAGGGACTCGGCGGTGGTGGCCGCCCGTGATATGATAAGCTTTGGTCGGGACGCAGGGATGGCGCGGGTTTCGAAGCAATCAAGCAGCTGCATTCAAGCCGTGCACTGAAATGCGCTCTGCGCTTTCCTAAGGACAACTATTGCGAAAAATCGAAGGGTTCCTGGGTTGTGCCCTGTCTCCTTTCAGCATCACCATTGCAATTCCGATTCACCATTCCCAATCAGCCTGCACAACAAAACTTGCGATCGGTGCGATAGGTAGGGAATGAGCGAGTCAGGGTGTTGGGGAATCCGATATATAAAGAAAGCCATAGGATGGATGGTTTATAGGGGTCATTCCATTTCTCATTCCCTGCCTATCAAACCAGCAAGAAAACACAAAACACTTCTTCGACTTCTCCCACGAACTCCCGTCTCTCCACAAGAATCTAGTTGTCAATGGCCCACGAGGGCAAGGCGTGTCCACCTGCATGAGTCCATGAGTGAATGACCCGATGGCTTTTTGACCCGAGCGACTCAAAGTCCAAACCCAGCGCTACAGGAGTCCACCCTAAACTATGTAGATACTTCTAAAAGGAACACGCCAGGAAGGGTCATTTCATGCATGTAGATATTCAAAAGGAACACCCTAAACTATGTAACTATTCAAGATATTCAAATATTCAAACTATGCAAAGGTCAATTCATGCACAGGGGCAAAACACGAAAGCAATGACGTCTTTGGGCATGAGGGGAAAGCAATGGCGTCTGGAAGTCAACGCGCATGCGCACCTTTCCATGCAAGCTATACATGGCTCCGAGGGGCGATTGTCTGTGAAATGAAAATGAGCTCCGCCTCCTACTCTAAACATGCCCTAACTAGAAGAATGAGCTTGCCAATAAAGGCAACTCATGCCACCTTTGCTCTCAGGGGCGAGTCGGTGTAGTTGGCCCAGTCTCCCCAAGCCTGGCCAGTCAAGCCGTCTTGAAAAAACATCCCGATGATGGCCATCATTGCCAGTCGGCCGTTCGCAATCTCGACGTTCAAGCGCCGCTGCTTCATCTCTGGGGCGTTGTTGCCGAACAGCGGCGGCTTCCATCCCATGTCACCTGGGGTGCGCTTGTTCACATCTGCGTCGTAGCCTGCGGAGATCTCGCAGAAGCCCGCGTAGGCAATCATCTGGATCCATCCAGCAAGCGGCACCTGGCTCCGACATAAGCATGCGGCAAGATGCTACGACAAGCAGACGATTCGATCTGTGTGCGTGTATGTGCTTAGTATCGCTTGTTCGTTCAGTTTGCTTTTAGGATTTGGTGTGCAAACGGTTGAGATGCTATGTTGTTGTGCATCTGTCTGACTCGCCTCGCAAGCAGACTGTATGCAGGTCGCTCATACACAATACAACCTTAAATTGCCGCTACTACAAGGCTCTTAGTGGACTAAAGCGTTCAACAGAACAAGTTCTGCTAAATGTGGATGTTGAATAGTCGAATTGGTAGGATGTTGGATTCGTTGCTGGCAGGCTCACATCGTCAATCTCGCAGAGCGTCCCATGATCAATCAGTTTTCTAAGCCTGCCTGTTGACACTACACCCACACGCCCAAACTTTAGGTACCAAGTGATGAACAAGGACAACTCACCACAAGTTGGCAAGCTGTGACGCGATGCATAGGAGAAGCAAGCTAAATCATCCAATAGCCTCAACAATTCAACTTGAAGTCTACTGCACCACTGCTTCTAATGTGATCATGTGTTCATCCTCCTTAGCCCCTGCCCAGCATCACTTTATGTACCAAACGGCACCCATTGCTTGGTCCTCCCACCTTGCTGATGGCGGCGAGGCCGTTGGGGATGTCTTCGAACTTCAGCTTGATGGTGGGGTCCAGGTAGCCCGGAAATTTTCCGGCAACCTCCGGAGTGATGTACCCCATTGTTGCAAGCATGCAGATTCTGCCGTGCTTGATCTCCACCGACCTGCGGCGCTTGAAGGAGTACACATCGCCGTCCTTTGACAATCCAAGGGGATCCCAAAATCCCAAAGGAGCTTGCACACCCAGCTCATTCTCAAACGCGCGCAGGGGCGAGTCGGTGTAGTTGGCCCAGTCTCCCCAAGCCTGGCCAGTCAAGCCGTCTTGGAAAAACATCCCGATGATGGCCATCATTGACAGTCGGCCGTTCGCAATCTCGACGTTCAAGCGTCGCTGCTTCATCTCTGGGGAGTTGTTGCCGAACAGCGGCGGCTTCCATCCCATGTCACCTGGGGTGCGCTTGTTCACATCTGCGTCGTAGCCTGCGGAGATCTCGCAGAAGCCCGCGTAGGCAATCATCTGGATCCATCCAGCAAGCGGCACCTGGCTCCGACATAAGCATGCGGCAAGATGCTACGACAAGCAAACGATTCGATCTGTGTGCGTGTATGTGCTTAGTATCGCTTGTTCGTTCAGTTTGCTTTTAGGATTTGGTGTGCAAACGGTTGAGATACTATGTTGTTGTGCATCTGTCTGACTCGCCTCGCAAGCAGACTGTATGCAGGTCGCTCATACACAATACAACCTTAAATTGCCGCTACTACAAGGCTCTTAGTGGACTAAAGCGTTCAACAGAACAAGTTCTGCTAAATGTGGATGTTGAATAGTCGAATTGGTAGGATGTTGGATTCGTTGCTGGCAAGCTCACATTGTCAATCTCGCAGAGCGTCCCATGATCAATCAGTTTTCTAAGCCTGCCTGTTGACACTACACCCACACGCCCAAACTTTAGGTACCAAGTGATGAACAAGGACAACTCACCACAAGTTGGCAAGCTGTGACGCGATGCGTAGGAGAAGCAAGTTGAATCTTCCGCAATAGCCTCAACAATTCAACTTGAGCTGTGGCTTTTTCCCTTTAAACTTGCATTGACGTATCACACCCTTCCGCGAAACCTTCCGGAACCTTCCGTGCGAAGGGTAGCTTCTGCCAGCATGCTTCCGCAGGCCTTCCGCAGGCAAGTGGCTTCTGAAACCTGAAGCTAGCGTCCGCGAGGAAGTTCGTGCGCACGGCTTGCTGGCAAACGTGCGCCAAGCAACAGCCCGGACGAAATCAAACGTGCAAGTCAACAGCATCTACCGCGAGAAAAACGAGGGAGAAAGCCTTCGGCGAACCTTCCGCGATGCTTCCGCGGCTGCGGTGCGGCGATGCCTTTCTTGTTGATATGTCAGCATCTATATGCTTGCTTGAGCAGGAAAAAGAAAACAAACAACAGCAAAATAATAATAAGAAAATAAATAATAATAATACTAATAATAATAAACACAGACGCCACTCACGTGAATTCTAGTGCACCACTGCTTCTAACCTGTCATTATGTCTTCATTCTCCTTAGCCCCTTACCACTACCACTTTGTGCAACAAAAGGCGTCCATTGATGGGTCCTCCCACCTTGCTGATGGCGGCCAGGCCGTTGGGGATGTCTTCGAACTTCAGCTTGATGGTGGGGTCCAGGTAGCCCGGAAATTTTCCGGCAACCTCCGGAGTGATGTACCCCATTGTTGCAAGCATGCAGATTCTGCCGTGCTTGATCTCCACCGACCTGCGGCGCTTGAAGGAGTACACATCGCCATCCTTTGACAATCCAAGGGGATCCCAAAATCCCAAAGGAGCTTGCACACCCAGTTCATTCTCAAACGCGCGCAGGGGCGAGTCGGTGTAGTTGGCCCAGTCTCCCCAAGCCTGGCCAGTCAAGCCGTCTTGGAAAAACATCCCGATGATGGCCATCATTGCCAGTCGGCCGTTCGCAATCTCGACGTTCAAGCGTCGCTGCTTCATCTCTGGGGAGTTGTTGCCGAACAGCGGCGGCTTCCATCCCATGTCACCTGGGGTGCGCTTGTTCACATCTGCGTCGTAGCCTGCGGAGATCTCGCAGAAGCCCGCGTAGGCAATCATCTGAATCCACCCGGCAAGCGGCACCTGGCTCCAACACAAGCATGCGGCAAAATGCTGCTATAGGCAGACATATTATTGTGGTTGTGCGTGAGTCTATGCTTAGTATCGCTTGCTCCGTCACTTTGCGTTGTGTGTGTTGGTGTGCAAAGGGGAGAGCAACACTCACCGCAAGTAGCCAAGCTCTGACGTGATGCATGGAAGAAGCTCAATCTTCCGCAAGAGCCGCAACAATTCAGGTTGAATTCTGGTGCACAACTGCTTCTATCCTGTCATGTGCTCATCCTCCTTAGCCCCTTACCGGTATCACTTTATGTAACAAAAGGCGTCCATTGTTGGGTCCTCCCACCTTGCTGATGGCGGCCAGGCCGTTGGGGATGTCTTCGAACTTCAGCTTGATGGTGGGGTCCAGGTAGCCCGGGAATTTTCCGGCAATCTCCGGAGTGATGTACCCCATCGTTGCAAGCATGCAGATTCTGCCGTGCTTGATCTCCACCGACCTGCGGCGCTTGAAGGAGTACACATCGCCATCCTTTGACAATCCAAGGGGATCCCAAAATCCCAAAGGAGCTTGCACACCCAGCTCATTCTCAAACGCGCGCAGGGGCGAGTCGGTGTAGTTGGCCCAGTCTCCCCAAGCCTGGCCAGTCAAGCCGTCTTGGAAAAACATCCCGATGATGGCCATCATTGACAGTCGGCCATTTGCAATCTCGACGTTCAAGCGTCGCTGCTTCATCTCTGGGGAGTTGTTGCCGAACAGCGGCGGCTTCCATCCCATGTCACCTGGGGTGCGCTTGTTCACATCTGCGTCGTAGCCTGCGGAGATCTCGCAGAAGCCCGCATAGGCAATCATCTGGATCCATCCAGCAAGCGGCACCTGGCTCCGACATAAGCATGAGGCAAAATGCTGCTATAAGCAAACATATGATTGTGATTGTGCCAGTAGTTGCTTCGTGGGTGTATCGCTGATCGTTCAGTCCGCCTTTTCTTTTCTTTCTTTTTTTTGGGGGAGGGTTGCAAGGGGGTCAAATGCTGTATGTTGTTGTACATCTGTCTAGCTCGCTTCGCAAGCCCGCTGTGTGCAAGTGTCTCCCTGAACCTGCCGCGACTACAAAGCACTTAGCGGACTAAAGCGTTCAACAGACCAGGTTCTGGTAAATGTGAATGCATAATTGGTATGATGTCGGATTCGTGCCTGGCTCAAATCGTCAATCTCGCCAAGCCACCCATCATCAATCTGTTTTCTAAGCCAGCCTGCTGACGCTACGCCCGAACGCCCAAACTTTAGGTACCAAATGCAGGAGAAGAAACAACCTCCACAAGTAGCCAAGCTGTGACGTGATGCTTGAATTCTGGTGCACTCCTGTCATGTGCTCATCCTCCTTAGCCCCTTACCGGTATCACTTTATGTAAGCAAAGGCGTCCATTGTTGGGTCCTCCCACCTTGCTGATGGCGGCCAGGCCGTTGGGGATGTCTTCGAACTTCAGCTTGATGGTGGGGTCCAGGTAGCCCGGAAATTTGCCGGCAATCTCCGGAGTGATGTACCCCATCGTTGCAAGCATGCAGATTCTGCCGTGCTTGATCTCCACCGACCTGCGGCGCTTGAAGGAGTACACATCGCCATCCTTTGACAATCCAAGGGGATCCCAAAATCCCAAAGGAGCTTGCACACCCAGCTCATTCTCAAACGCGCGCAGGGGCGAGTCGGTGTAGTTGGCCCAGTCTCCCCAAGCCTGGCCAGTCAAGCCGTCTTGGAAAAACATCCCGATGATGGCCATCATTGACAGTCGGCCGTTTGCAATCTCGACGTTCAAGCGTCGCTGCTTCATCTCTGGGGAGTTGTTGCCGAACAGCGGCGGCTTCCATCCCATGTCACCTGGGGTGCGCTTGTTCACATCTGCGTCGTAGCCTGCGGAGATCTCGCAGAAGCCCGCGTAGGCAATCATCTGAATCCACCCGGCAAGCGGCACCTGGCTCCAACACAAGCAGGCGGCAAAATGCTGCTATAAGCAGACACATGATTGTGGTTGTGCGTGAGTTTATGCTTGGCATCGCTTGCTCCGTCACTTTGAATTGTGTGTGTTGGTGTGCAAACGGGAAAGCAACACTTACCACAAGTAGCCAAGCTCTGACGTGATGCATGGAAGAAGCTCAATCTTCCGCAAGAGCCGCAACAATTCAGGTTGAATTCTGGTGCATCACTGAATCTTAGTTGACCATGTCGCTATGATGTCTACTCTCATTTAATGATGCACTGCATTGGTGTGTGTGTGTGTATCTTGCGTAACAAAAGGCGTCCATTGTTGGGTCCTCCCACCTTGCTGATGGCGGCCAGGCCGTTGGGGATGTCTTCAAACTTCAGCTTGATGGTGGGGTCCAGGTAGCCCGGAAATTTTCCGGCAATCTCCGGAGTGATGTACCCCATCGTTGCAAGCATGCAGATTCTGCCGTGCTTGATCTCCACCGACCTGCGGCGCTTGAAGGAGTACACATCGCCATCCTTTGACAATCCAAGGGGATCCCAAAATCCCAAAGGAGCTTGCACACCCAGCTCATTCTCAAACGCGCGCAGGGGCGAGTCGGTGTAGTTGGCCCAGTCTCCCCAAGCCTGGCCAGTCAAGCCGTCTTGGAAAAACATCCCGATGATGGCCATCATTGACAGTCGGCCGTTTGCAATCTCGACGTTCAAGCGTCGCTGCTTCATCTCTGGGGAGTTGTTGCCGAACAGCGGCGGCTTCCATCCCATGTCACCTGGGGTGCGCTTGTTCACATCTGCGTCGTAGCCTGCGGAGATCTCGCAGAAGCCCGCGTAGGCGATCATCTGAATCCACCCGGCAAGCGGCACCTGGCTCCAACACAAGCATGCGTCAAACTGCGTACTAAACACATATGATTGTGATCTATATGCTTAACGTTCCGCTTCTCTTCCTTTTGTTGTTCTTCTTATTCCTCCTCTTCTTCTTCTTCTTCTTCTTGTTCTTCATCTGCGTGCAACGGGTTTGACTGATGTTATGTTGGTGCACATCAGCCCAATGTCGTTGTTGTTGGCACGCTGCATTCGATTCCCTTTGCTCAGTTCCACTGTGCGGCGTGGCCAAAGCATTTCCAGGGCTGTTGTAAATATGGGTTATCTCATGTTATATGTTACCACATTCGTTGCTGGTGAGTTCCACTTGATGTCCTGCAAAGGTGATCAAAGACTCTGCTGACGATAAAACAAAATGGGGGGCTCAGCCTACCAGCGTGCTGCAACAGAAACACTCCCTGGACACTGGCCTGTGACAACCGGTCGCTCCTAACAACTGCTTTCACAAATACTAGACGCCATCACGTGCATTGAGAAAGTAAGCTGAATCCCTCTGCTGCAATCGTGAAAACCACAGAGAACACACCACAATGGATCAACATTGCGTCAACATCCAATTTGAGTGCATCACTGCTTCTTAGTTGACCATGTCGCTATGATGTCTACTCTCATTTAATGATGCACTGTATTGGTGTGTGTGTGTGTCTTGCGTAACAAAAGGCGTCCATTGTTGGGTCCCTCCCACCTTGCTGATGGCGGCCAGGCCGTTGGGGATGTCTTCGAACTTCAGCTTGATGGTGGGGTCCAGGTAGCCCGGAAATTTTCCGGCAATCTCCGGAGTGATGTACCCCATTGTTGCAAGCATGCAGATTCTGCCGTGCTTGATCTCCACCGACCTGCGGCGCTTGAAGGAGTACACATCGCCATCCTTTGACAATCCAAGGGGATCCCAAAATCCCAAAGGAGCTTGCACACCCAGCTCATTCTCGAAGGCTGTGACGACAGTCATCGATCTGCGGGGCTTTCCAACCTGGCCGTGAGGTGCAGCAGGTGGTTCTGATCACTTCACCCATCGTTGCTTTCTGCTCCCCTGCTAAAAGTTTAACTTTTAGTGGTTTAGTTGGCAAAAAGTTAAAGTCCCAACATCCAAGCAAAATGCACCAAAGCCATGTTGTGACAATTGCCAAACAGCAGAGCCTTTGATTGGAACAGTCTGGTCAGAAGCAGCACGAGTCGTGCTCCAGCATGTCAGCCTTACCATGATAACTTCCATTTGCTCAATTCCAGTAGTGATAGATTCCCTTTAAAACCAACAGGGGAAATTAAACTGTAATATGAAACGCACCTGGAAAATGATTCATTCACTTGAATGAAGCAATTCCCATCAAGGGACCCCTCATGGCGTGCAAGCTGGCATCCCAAACAAAATGTCCAAATCCCCGGTGATTCGCGGCCAATAAAATGGGGTCGGCATGCTACCGCCAGGACGTTCACAATCTGCGTTTGGCCATACCAGTTGCAGTAGTTGTCCGTTGTGAATAATTGAATGACCAGCCCCTTTGTAAGTCTTAGTGCCATGGAAGGGCAAGAGTTTCAATTTCTGCCAAAGAAAAGGTTAGCTGACCGCCTGTGATGACCCAGCTGTAAGTAAGGACAGCATTTTTGTCATCAAGACGAGTGCTTCTCACCCAGCACCTTTCCGCAACATTTGAGACACGTCCGGGATCTCACAGACCCCAGAGCGTGATCAATTGAGCTTCAAGATATCCGGCCGCATGTGCGACAAGAAGCCCGATGCTTCTTGCCCTACCAATCTTAGATTCCTTCCAGCATAAATCAACAAGCACAATCTTCGAGTGAGCTAGTGGGTCAGTAATTTGTTAGAAGTACGTGTCGCTGTTTGCCACCTGAGCACTTGAACCCTCGTCAGGAACCTTCTCCCAAATGGTCAAGCAGCCATGCTGCTCAAACAAACAGCAGCCCAGCAGCAGCTATGTTGAGCACCAATTACTGCTCCAATGTCTGCTGCCAACAGGCATTGCATATGGTTGATTAGAGGTTAAGAGTTGATATAAAGAACCAGTTCCCCAATCGCCTACGACGTTGAGCATGCTGAAAGGCAGTTGATTCAAAACAAAACCTAAAACATGTAATTGTAAGGTAGCCGGACCCTCTCTGCGATGTTGATTGATGTCAAAGAATAAATCTACATAATACCGACCATCCAGAAACGGCAAGTCATATAGGTGGGTGGCTGCTAGAAAGAATCAACATAAACCAACAAGAAGGAGACATTCCTTAGTGGGGTGGCCAATCTTCCCAGGTGGGCCCCCACTTGTCGTAGCGACATGAGTGAAATGGTGTACCAAGCAGAATACTTTGGTGTCATTTTCTGAGAGCTCCTTTTCGGGGACAAAGGTAAGTGAAACGTTGCCCCGCACGTTGCCCTGCAAGCTCTGGGTGTTTTGAAATGGGCGATGGACCCCTGAAAATTGGCCTCGGCTTCCCGTTGGCGTCCATAAAAGCATCGGCAGAACGGGTACCCTCTCAACATCCATGTGACTATGGGTCAAAAAGAAACCACTAGAAGACCGCAGGTTGAGTCCTTATTTCCACTTGGCCCATGGCAATCAAAAGTCATGGATGCGTTTTGGGCAAATCGCGTCATGATTTGCCCACTGACACTAGACTTATCCCCGCGTCTCTTTCTCTCCCTCTCTTGTACCCTGGTAAGTCTGGACCGTACCGTATGGAACCCCAAAAAAAGTGTTCAGAGGGTGCCTGGTCATGCGTCACTAACCGCGGGCGTCCATGTATTTTTGCGCAGGGGGATTCCGACTGTTGAGTCCAAAACGCTGGCAGAGCTGTCTGCCCAATGAATCGAAACGGCAGAGGGCATCTATGGTTGTCACTGTCCCTATACTCATCTTGATCCCGAAACGCCTTCGTTGTCAATTGCTTCCCTTGAACACAACACCACAAAAATAAAAAAAACTAACTCAAGTCGTCAAGGGTCTCACCCCCCCCCTGTTTCGAAAACTCAGTGAGCCGTGGCAAAACAAAACACCAAAAAGGTGGGAAGATCCGCACCAAGTTTTATACATGGGAGTCCCCTGACCTTCATCTCAGATGATCCACCTATCTTGACACCAATAACACATCACCTGTTGGGTCATTTGAGCATGAGCTTCCTTTCGGGATGATGGGGGAGGGTAAGGGTAAGTTTGCTTGTGAGGAACCCCCAAAAAAATGTGGTTGTCCTCCTGGTGTTCCTTTACAACGAGCAACTCCAAAAAAGACAGACCCCGTAATGTTGACCCCATATTAAGCAACCCCGATGTATTTGATAGGGTGTCTCGGACTCTAGGCTTAGTGGGGAATCCGACCACTTCTTGGAGGGCCCCCACCCTATCAATTCACTGGGGTTGATTAATATGGCCGTGGGTCAACGCCAATGGTACCATTTTGGGTAGGGGCACCACCCATTTTAGTCTATTTTGGTGGGGATTGGGATGTTCACTGGGGGTGCGATTTGGGTTTTGACCCATGGCCATATTTGGATGTTTCAAGACTCACCTTTTCTAGGTCCCCCA